TTCTGGCGCACTATGGCTGCCGTCGCATCATCCAGGTGGATGCTGCACACTGGTGGTGGTACCCCCTGTACCCCCTGACAATGTAAAGCGCCTTGAGTGCCTAGAAAAGCGCTATATAAATGTAATGAATTATTATTATTATTATTATTACAATACACACACTACACACATTCACCTGCCGTCTCTCAGGCTGTGGCACTTCCTGTCTGCCCTTATTCTGTCTCTCTCGTTCATACACGTCCAGACGCCTTATTTCATTTATAACAAACATTATTGCATGATTTATAATGCAGAAATTAACATTATAAGTAGAATCAAGCAAATCTGCTATTAGTTCCACTTTTTCATTTTGGCTCTTGGTTTAGCATGTGCTTCATTTTGCGATGCTTTTTTTTTTTTGCAAAACAATGTCTTTTTTTTTTCTTGGGGTGTTGGATAATACTTGCAATGTAACCGCAAAGAAGGACGTTTTTAGTAACACTTTATTTTACAGTGTCCTTGTTACACATTACATGTACTAGTAATAACAGTAAATGATGTATAATTACATGCAGTAACCCTAAACCAAATCCTAATTCTAACCCTAACCTTATAGAAAATTGGCTACGTGTTGTTAATTAATATTACTCAGTACTTAAATGTACAATTACACTGAAATAAGGACACCTTAAATATGTTTTTTGTTTGTTTGTTTGTTTTTTACATAAGAGACATTATGGGCAACAAGGATAAAACATGAAATAATCCATTTCATATTTTTACATAATGATTTAAAAAAAAATCCAATTAGTCACATAAAGAGTGTAAAGGTGTTCAGGATAAATATTAACATATACAGTAGCCTATGTAAGCTTATAAAATCTACAATCAGGAACTGAGAATGCAATACTATTTTCCAAACTGTTTATTTTCAAACAAGCAATCTCATTTTGGCAAACTCATTTTCAAACAAATGGTCACAAAAGACTAACAGGTTTAATGTATATTCATGATCACGTTTTATTTTCAGATGTGGCAGGTCTGCAATTCATTGTCAACAACCAACCAAAACTACATCAATGGCCTGTGCTGTCAGTAATTACATTATTAATTACATTACATTTTTAAATGAACAAAAGGTAAAGGGAATTTTTTTGTCAGTTAAACAAAAAAAAGTTTTTTCATTTATTACCACAAAACATTCTAATATAAATTTTATTAAATTCTTGAATGAAGCAGACTACACTGTGTCACATAAATGGAAGTAATATTTCAAGGGTTTAATGTAACAGAGTTCATTTCATGTATAATGGCTGCTAATCACTGCTATTATAGTAATTATTGAAATAAACAGCACATTTTGTGGGTGTCAACTAAATACTTCCACCTAGCGGATGTTTTTTGTTTCATAGGTAGATTTTGGAGTAGAAATATCTTAAAAGTACTTTTGATGAGTCTGATGAATTAGAAACACTCAAGAAAGCACTCCTGATCTTACTACATTTGCATACCTTCCTTTTTACTGATGTCATTCGTGGTTTCTGCACTGGCTTTGTGTCTATATATTGCACATGCAGCAACGTGCTTACCACTGTGTATTAATAATCAGTAGTGCATCACGACTGGCACAGATAATCAAACAATTATTTTCAGCTGTACAATGTTGATTGTGAGGGTAAGCAACTAAACTATCATTAAAAGTCATCATGACAAATCAATTCTTCCCACCACAAAGCGACATGAAAGAAAGAAAATGATTATTAGGGATGTATTTGAATTTCTTTTTTACCTACTTGAGGCACAGCTTGCAGGTGTTGTGGCAAAAACAATTATTAACGGTGTCAACTAAATACTTCCACCTAGCGGATGTTTTTTGTTTCATAGGTAGATTTTGGAGTAGAAATATCTTAAAAGTACTTTTGATGAGTCTGATGAATTAGAAACACTCAAGAAAGCACTCCTGATCTTACTACATTTGCATACCTTCCTTTTTACTGATGTCATTCGTGGTTTCTGCACTGGCTTTGTGTCTATATATTGCACATGCAGCAACGTGCTTACCACTGTGTATTAATAATCAGTAGTGCATCACGACTGGCACAGATAATCAAACAATTATTTTCAGCTGTACAATGTTGATTGTGAGGGTAAGCAACTAAACTATCATTAAAAGTCATCATGACAAATCAATTCTTCCCAACACAAAGCGACATGAAAGAAAGAAAATGATTATTAGGGGTGAATTTGAATTTATTTTTTACCTACTTGAGGCACAGCTTGCAGGAAAGAAAAACAGATGCATAAATTGAGGCGGTGTGTATGTTTTTGTGTAAAATGGGTGGAGGTGTACATAAATCAATTTATTTGTGTTGATTTTCAAAACTATCAGGAATAATGAAACCATTAGAAATCACTAGGCAATGTGTTTACTGCAGGGAACAGGATCAAATCCTTTCACTCAAAAGCAGAAAAATAAATAATTGCAATAATGGCACTCTTCTGGTTCCATTAAGCATGAAGGCAGCCCCACAGCCCTCCGAATGCAGAAACATCCACATCCACATAAATGGCTCCTCTCTGAGGCAGGGGTGGCTGAAATCCAGAGAATACTGAAAATCTAGGTCAATGGATTGCTGCACAGCTATGATGACTCCCTTTTCCGAAGTGTATGCTTTATGCTTATGGATGGATGAAAACCACACAGTCTGACCAGTAATCGTAAAAAAAAAAAGATATGTGTATCCTAATTTGATTCCTTTCTGTTGGAAGCATTTTCTCCGTTGTGTTTAATAAACCCTAATCCTTTGAATTACTCTGCCTGTTTGCCTCCTTGTCCCGAGTGTGACAACATGCATGCTTTGCATTAATCTGTGGATGAATGGGGTAATGCTAATTTTAATTTGATTTATTGCATTGCATTTGTTAGTTTACACTTTATACATTTTCCCGTGATCGAAAACACTCTAGACAGGGCTGAACGAGTGGTAGATGTGCACCTGAAGAGTTGTCCTGCATTATTCAAGTGTTTTAAAGGCAGTGGCTGCAGGCATGTCTTAACTTTGCATGTCATCGTGTGGAGTCTTACCTGCTTTAAAATGAAGACTGGATCAAATCAAACAGACAAGGTACATGTTGGCAGTCTAGCATAGTCAAATGATTCATATCATCTGAGAATGTGTATTTATAGCAGTCCCTCATGAGAGGGAACAAACGTCAGCTTGAATTCTGAAGATATCATTATGTTCATGTATTAATGCAACAAGCTGCGAGTCTTTTATAATGAAACATTATTGCAGATAAAAAGAAAACAGCAGAGCGTTTGCCATCTGAATCCCACTCACAGTTTCTCCTTTCGGTGCCTAGCAACACTTTTTCAGCAGAATACACAAAATTAGCAGGGTATGCGTGACCACAGACTCAAAGCCATTGCTCGGTGAAGCCGAGCCCACAAATTCCTTGAAACAAGATCAGCACACAATGCCAAAGGTTTGCTTACTAAAATAAATATGTTCTCTAACTCAAAGAATCCTCTGGGTGCACACAATCTTGTGAGAGTTACTCACAATGCCATTAAATCTGTGATGTAAAGTCAGAGTGGATTTCACAAATTGTTTGGTAAGAGCAAAAGCGATAGAAACTGAAATGCTGCTGAGTTGTAGTAGTGACAAGAGATATACATTACACAAAACCGATGCACTATCGAACATCATGTAATACTCAAATTACTGTCAAATATATGTTAGCTTGCTTAGTAAAAGCAGCCAAATGGAACCAGGCTTGTGAGGATCCGTGGTCCTGAAACCATAACATACCCTCAAAAGCTAATCTCTGGAAAGACGTGGGATTTGAGCTCAACCACTGTTAAAGGAATAGTTCACCCAAAATTGAAAAACTTGATTAAAATGTACATACAAGATGTAGATGAGTTTGTTTCTTCATCAGAACAGATTTGGATAAATGTAGCATTACATCACTTGCTCAGCAATGGATGCTCTGCAGTGAATGGGTGCCGTCAGAATGAGAGTCCAAACAGCTGATAACAACATCACAATAATCCACAAGTAATCCACACCACTCCAGTCCATCTATTAATGTCTGGAGAAGACAAAAGATGCATGTTTGTAAGAAACAAATCCATCATTAAGACGTTTTTCATTTCAAACCATTGCTTGCTAAATATGAAAATACAAGTCCTATTTTTAGAATAATGCTTTCTCCAGTGAAAAGTCGTCTCGTCTGAATCAGGAGAGAAATATGCACAGATCGAACACCTTTTACAAGCGTAAACAGTCCAAAACAGGTCAAAACAAACACGTGAGAGGACAACAGGAGATGGATTTTTTCACTGGTGGAAGCGTTATTTTGAATGATAAACTTAGCAAATTCACCATTAAGGTGTTTTAACTTAAAATGTAACAGTTTTAAAATGCATTAATAATGGATTTGTTTCTTACAAACATGCAGTTTTTTGCTTCTCAAGACATTAACGGATGGACTGAAGAGGTGTGGATTACTTGTGGATTATTGTGATGTTTTTATCAGCTGTTTGAACTCTCATTCTGACGGCACCCATTCACTGCAGAGCATCCATTGGTGAGCAAGTAATGCCATGCTAAATTTTTCCAAATCTATAGGAAAATTTATATTGCAGCCTAACCAATTAATCTCTAGCATGTTTAATTTAATAAGTAGATTTGGAAATCTGGAGAAGCAGTGTGAAATGCGTGTTTTATTCCAGCTGTCATTTTCCTTTAAGATGATGTAAGGCTCATCTCCCTAAGAATGGTCTCCCTCCCCCGTCCAAAGTCTCTCTCCGCACGCTGCATTCATTCGCACAACGCTGCTGATGCTCTGGAGAGTCAGGATGCACAAACTTCACAACGCACCCTCGTTTTCAACTACAGACCATTTTACTGAAATGCTGGGTGGGTGCCAGGTTCATGAAGACTAACTGTTCTGGACGGACACGATTTCCTGAGAGAGAAGCACTCTTCTGTAGGAAATTGAAGCTGTCTTGGTTGGTGCAGTTTTTCATATTTTTTATAAGCAGAACTTATTTTTGGATTTTCGGCTGGAGGTTACATGAGCTGCATAATTGGTTCCCTTGGGTGAGAGCTCTTCTGTTTCTACATTATTTCAAATAACAGGGAGATGCGTGTTCAGATTTATCATCTGGCAATAGATGCCAAGCTACAATTGTTGGAAAAGCCTAATCTTATTGTGCCATTTTGATGCATGTATACTTCTATAAACACTCTGCAGGTCTCAGAGATGCTGTACATAACACAATGGACTGTGGATGTCTATTAAAGCGCGTGCAGGTTATGTTCCTTTTGACTTTTTGCTCCCTAAAAACAAATCAAAAACTTTTGCGCATTCGCTTTTTTGTTTTTTGAAGCGTGCAACGCCAAAATGGCTCTGACTGAGAATTGCAGGACTTATCAAACGCCCAAGGACAGTGGACGTGCTCAGAGTTGCTCTTCTGATGTGGTTGAGCTCAATGTAGGTGGACAGGTGTACTACACTCGCCATGCCACCCTCACCAGCGTGCCAAACTCACTGCTGGGGAAATTATTCTCAGCTAAAAAGGATGTTTCCAACGACCTCGCGCAGGACATCAAGGGACGCTACTTCATCGACAGGGACGGATTTCTCTTTCGGTATGTGTTGGACTATCTCCGCGATAGGAACGTCGTCCTGCCGGATTATTTCCCGGAGAAAGGGAGGCTCAAACGGGAGGCTGAGTTCTTCCAGCTGCCCGAGCTCGTGAAAATCCTGACACCAGATGAATATATCCACGGTGATTTTGACGAAGCGTCCCAGGGAAGCGATCAGAGGTTGTTCCCCGCGTCTTACCTGGACGCGCGCGATAGGCGCTACGGCTTCATCACGGTGGGATGCAAGAGCTCGTGCGCCTTCGGGAGGGACGCGGATCCCAAAGCGCGAGGAACACCCAAAATCTTCATCTGCGGAAGGGTCGGTCTGGCCAAAGAAGTTTTCGGGGACACTCTAAACGAGAGCCGGGATCCTGACAGGCCAGCCGAGCGATACACCTCTCAGTTTTACCTGAAGTTTCGCCACCTGGAGCGAGCGTTTGACATCCTCGCGGAGAGCGGCTTCCACATCGTCGCATGCAATTCATCACTCACCCCTTCTCCGCACAACAGACGCACTGATGACAGATACTGGTCCAATAACACAGAGTACGTCTTCTACCGTAAGTACAGTTTATTTCACAACAATATACAGCCAGTTGGTCCCAGATAGCACATGTAGCCTACGTCTGCAAGATGTCTGTTAAAGATCTGGAAAGCGTCTGCTGTGTACAAACATGTCAGGTTTACATGCATTCTAAATTATAAACATCTTAAAGACATTTTCTAAAGTTATACTTGATATCTGATAGGAAACATCCTATAGAGGTATTGCAGATGAACAAACGCTCTAAAAAATACGTCTTGCAGATGTAAATGCAGACGTCAAATAGAGCCTCCGTGATGTACGTGTGCTTTATCGCCAAATCATGGAAGCGGTTTATCGATTGTTGTCAACTAGCCCATTGCGTAAACAATTATTGTTTTGGATTAAAAATATATTGTCTTGTTTTCAGAAATATTTGACCACTGAATGCCACGGCAGGTCAACCAGAATCAAGTATTCCAGTGTGTCAGCTAATAATTGCTTTAAAAAAAAAAGGCTTCAAAATCGAGTGAATTCTATTCAGTGTGTAGTTGTCACGCTTTTCTCAGACAGTACCATTAGGCGGCGCACTCTGATAGTTTTGATCAATTCTATTCGGATCAATTCTATAATCAGCCTCAAACTCAAATGTACACTGCAAAAAATGCTTTTCTAGCTTAGAGTTTTTGTCTTGTTTCCAGCCAAAATATCTAAAAATTCTTAAATCAAGAAGAATTTTCTAGACAAGTAAAAATTATTGTCTTGTTTTCAGAAAAAACAAGTCGAATTTAAGTGAGTTTTTGCTTGAAACAAGCAAAATAATCTGCCAATGGGGTAAGCAAAATAATCTTATTTCAAACAGAAAACAAATCTATATGTTGGCTGGAAACAAGACAAAAAATCTAAGCTAGAAAAGCATTTTTTGCAGTGTAGGTGATGCACTTCCCTTTAAGTATTAGCAGACTGAACTGGGTTTGTCCGCTCAGAACATCGATAGAAGAGAGAGAGAGAGGCTTTCGAGTCAATGCAGATGTGGAGAATTCCCTCAAGTATAGCTCTCAGGGATATGAACAGTGTGGTTTGAATATTTCAGTAATCTACCACAGTGATGATCATGTCACTTCCTCCTCTCTCTCTCTCTCTCTCTAGCTCATTCAATCTCTCTTTATTTAACTACATGTGCACCTTTTGGATATACACTTGTTCTCTCTCTCTCTCTCTCTCTCTCTCTCTCTCTCTCTCTCGGTCGTGCTCGCTCACTCAATCTCTCTTTGTTTAACTACATGTTCACCTTTTGGATATACAATTGTTCTCCAGCGCCTGCCTTCATTAGTGGTTCATTTGACTTGCCTTTGTCTTAAATGAGAGAGATGTTGCAGCATATGGCCAATTAAAAATCACTTTGTGCTTAATTTCAAACGAGTCCCCTTGGAAAAACTAAAAAGAGTGGGCCTGGAACAGAGAGCTTCTGGAGGACAGTCACGAGATTTGGGGTGAATGGACATATGGCTGCTTAATGATTTGTTTTCTGTCATCAGTATAATTACTGCAGCATTTAGCCCCTCCCATTGCCCACATAATGGAAAAAAATTATGGCACATCAAGATAAGGAGTAATGCTATACTGTAAGTCTATATCTACACGACAGTCGTGCAGATATTCAGGCCAACAGCATGACGGCAAATGTGATATTGGTTTAAATAATCAAGAAGTTAAAGGCGTCAAGAAATGAAAAATTTTCATAATTATTAATCAAAATGTCATAACTGGATCTTCCAGTGAAACCGACTTCTCTCTGGTGACGTATGCAGGATTTCGGACTTCAATTAAACATCCGGTCAATAATCAATGGATAGAACCAAGTTCCACCCTATATTTTTTTCTTTTTCAATTATCTGTTACACTACGATGTATGTCACAATACCGAAGAACAGAACTGTCGCTACATCTGTTTCATCGCAACTTTATTGAGATGTTGATTAACTTACATTTGATACACGATATTGCATGATATTTTGTCTACTTTTGCATGATATGTTGTCTACTTTTGCTGCGCCAACGAAAATAGTTCCGAACTAGTCCAAGCAGAATCAACCATTGTGAATTAATCAGTGTTTTTGAATGAATCAATTGAATAAATGATTCAGTGACTCACTTGTAAGCACAGTCGCCTGTTTAGTTTCTTAATGATTCAGCATTTTGAATAAATCGAATGAATGAATGAATGATTCAATGACTCATAAAAAACAGTGCTGTTGGACTGCAGATCTGCACTCTCAGTCAAATTCGAGAACCACAATTAAATGCTGTGTAAATTAAAAATACATTTTCACTAAAACATTATTTTTTGAAGCAGATTCATGAAGTCATATCCTTTCGTTATAAGTTCTAGTCCCTGACATAACAGGATAGAACCAAGTTCCACCCTATATTTTTTTCTTTTTCAATTATCTGTTACACTACGATGTATGTCACAATACCGAAGAACAGAACTGTCGCTACATCTGTTTCATCGCAACTTTATTGAGATGTTGATTAACTTACATTTGATACACGATATTGCATGATATTTTGTCTACTTTTGCATGATATGTTGTCTACTTTTGCTGCGCCAACGAAAATAGTTCCGAACTAGTCCAAGCAGAATCAACCATTGTGAATTAATCAGTGTTTTTGAATGAATCAATTGAATAAATGATTCAGTGACTCACTTGTAAGCACAGTCGCCTGTTTAGTTTCTTAATGATTCAGCATTTTGAATAAATCGAATGAATGAATGAATGATTCAATGACTCATAAAAAACAGTGCTGTTGGACTGCAGATCTGCACTCTCAGTCAAATTCGAGAACCACAATTAAATGGTGTAAATTAAAAATACATTTTCACTAAAACATCATTTTTTGAAGCAGATTCATGAAGTCGTATCCTTTCGTTATAAGTTCTAGTCCCTGACATAACAGAACGACAGTGTTGGGGAAAGTTGCTTTTAAAAGTAATGCATGACAATATTGTGTTACTCCCTAAAAAGTAACTAATTGCGTTAGTTACTTTTTATGTAAAGTCATGCGCTACATTACTTTTGCATTACTTTTTATCATCTGGGCTGGGCTTGCTTGTTTGTTTTTAATATAAAAAGTTATATTTTTTTTATAAATGTAAAAATGTATAAATGTATAAATGTTCACACCAAAAGTGAAATGAATAAGCCTCAGGCTGAAGGAAATGTCAATTTATAGAAGAGGACGCAGCTCAAACAAACCTTTCAATAGGATGGAGAAGCAAGTTCAACAATAAACAAGCAATACAAAAATAATTGAAACACAAATGTTATGTTTATCTAAAGTCATTTTTGCTTTTTAGTATGGTAGAATTGGATCATCGAAGGTCAGCAGCAATGACACTGATTAATAAAATGGGATTAAATACATAAAGGATATTTGTGTTATTTAACATATTTAATTATCACAGGTTTGCGTCATATTTCTGAGTTCGCTTTTCACTGTTTTTATTCATTTTGAGGAATACTGAATCTGTTTTTTGTGCAAGTGAGATGAATAAATAAATGCATGTTCACATTTAGTCTAGAACTACAGTACCCATCATGTTTACACGTTTATTTGAAAAAGTAACTTGAATATTATCTTGAAAATTCAAAAGTAATACGTTATTTTACTAGTTACTTGAAAAAAGTAATCTGATTACGTAACTTGCGTTACTTGTAATGTGTTACCCCCAACACTGCAGAACGATGATATGCAACAAAAAACTAAATAGTCGACAAGTGGTTCAGGTCATAGCTGTCACTACATTATGGATTTTAAGTACAGCTGGAACTTTGTATTAACAAATCAGAAGCCATAAACAGAGCTCTCCGTTTTATAAAGTACTTTATTAGGATGCCATTTGATTGACAGGCTCAAGTGTTCATACCTGTTTTACAGGGAAATAAGATCATTCATTTATCATTGCTGATTTTAATGACAGATGAGATATTTATCTTTGGTTTCTCACAAAGGTTTAACAAACACAGAAATCACAAAGGGCTACATAAAATCACACACAAATTGTTGATAAAAAAAAAATAATGTATCACCTAAAGATTACTTTAAACTCCATATAAAATAAAACATGTAACACTTTTTTCTTACTGATTGTGGTATTTAAGCAAAAGGGGAATCACCACTAACTAGGGGTGCCATGAAATTATCTTATCTTATCTTATCTTATCTTATCTTATCTTATCTTATATCTTATCTTATCTTACTTGGTGCCTATAGATGAACAAAGAAATGACACTTTTTTTTCTAATTATTTGTTACTTTATATTAGGGTAAGATGGGACGATCTAATAGTACACTTTTATTTAACATGAAAGGAGACCTGGCTTTAAATCCCAACCTATTACTTTTGTTAGATAAACCAAACAAATTAACTTGACAGTTATGATCATCATGTATTTTCATTGAAGCAGCTCTGACATTCTCTTCCACAGGAAAGAAAATCTTATGGGTTTGGAGAGACATGAGGATGTTAAAGCAAAAGGCCTACAGATGATGACTCTATTGGACTTAGACATGTGAATGTGTGATTTCTACCACAGTGTTAGACGATTATGCAACATAGTTCAAAAGATGCAAATTATAATATTTTTTTGCATTTAAAGTTGGATTTAAAATCCACTTGGCTCAAAAAATTGCTAGACAATTCTGCCACATCAGATAACAAGATTCAATTATAATGGTTGAAATGTTATATCTCAACTTTACGCTGCACATTTCAGTTTACAGCATAATTGGTAGATTCTTGTTTCTGTTTTGAATTTGTTTGCTCTTGAATCCCCTGGTGAAATGAACCAGTTGCTTTTTACAGGCCTCACTGCCTTCTCTTGTGCTGTTACTTCTCAGAACATCACCCACATTACACATTTTACCAATTTAGACTGCCCAAGAGATTGGTAATATATCATTGCGGTCAAAGGGGTTGCTTATTTTTCTTTGTCGCTTACTTACTCATCCTCCTTCTTATGTGCTTCATCA